CTACTCCCGCCCTCAAGGAAAAAAAAAAAGGCAGGAAAAGCATCAGCAGAGTTGAACTGCTTTTTTGAATTTGCAATTCAGTGTGTTCATTTATCACAGGGTTTGCCAAAAAGAGGACGCAATCTCTGTCTTTAGACTTGCAGTCTAATGCTAGCTCAGTCATTTTACCTCTGTTCATAAACTGATTATCTGCTACAAATCACAAAGATGTCGGCACTTTATATTTACTGTTTGGTGCTGGAGCTGGAGTAGCAGGCACCACCTCCAATCTGTTAATCCAGTCTGAGTTATGCTAATCTGGAGCGCTACTTGGAGATGACCAAATCTGTAATGTAGTCATACAGTCCCTGCACGTGTAATAATTTTCTTTATAGTTGTACCCATTATGATTGCAGGGTTTGAAAAATGACTTGTGACCCACAGCAAGCATCATACTCAATGGTGAAAAACTGAAAGCATTTCCATTAAGATCAGGAACAAGACAAGGGTGTCCAGTCTCGCCACTCTTATTCAACATAGTTATGGAAGTCCTAGTCATGGCAATCAAAGAAAAAAAAGAAAAGGAATACAAATTGGAAAAGAAGAAGTAAAACTGTCACTCCTTGCAGATGACATGATACTGTACATAGAAAATCCTAAAGATGCCACCAGAAGACTACTAGAACTAATCAATGAATTTGGTACAGTTGCAGGATACAAAATTAATGCACAGAAATCTCTGGCATTCCTATACACCAACAATGAAAAATCAGAAAGAAATTAAGAAAACACTCCCATTTAACATTGCAACAAAAAGAATAAAATATCTAGAAATAAACCTGCCTAAGGAGGCGAAAGAGTTGTAGTCAGAAAACTATAAAACACTGATGAAAGAAATCAAAGATGACATAAACAGATGGAGAAATATACCATGTTCTTGGATTGGAAGAATCAATATTGTGAAAATGACTATAGTACCCAAAGCAATCTACAGATTCAGTGCAAACCCTATCAAACCACCAATGGCATTCTTCACAGAATGAGAACAAAAAATTTTACAATTCGTATGGAAAGAGAAGACCCCGAATAGCCAAAGCAACCTTGAGAAAGAAAAACGGAGCTGGAGGAATCAGGCTCCCCGACTTCAAATTACACTACAGACCTGCAGTAATCAAGACAGTATGGTACTGGCACAAAAACAGAAATATAGATCAATGGAACAGGATAGAAAGCCCAGAGATAAACCCACACATATATGGGCAACTAATTTATGACAAAGGAGGCAAGAATATACAATGGAGAAAAGACAGCCTCTTCAGTAAGTGGTGCTGGGAAAACTGGACAGCTACATGTAAAAGAATGAAATTAGAACACTACCTAACACCATACACAAAAACTCCAGATGGATTAAAGACTTAAATGTAAGACAAGACACTATAAAACTCTTAGAGGAAAACATAGGAAAAACACTCTTTGACATAAACCACAGCAAGATCTTTTTTTGACGCACCTCTAGAGTAAAAGAAATAAAAACAAAAATAAACAAATGGGACTTAATTAAACTTAAAAGCTTTTGCACAGCAAAGGAAAACATAAGGAAGACAAAAAGACAACCCTCAGAATGGGAGAAAATATTTGCAAATGAAACAACAAAGGATTAATCTCCAAAATACACAAATAGCTCATGGAGCTCAATATCAAAAAAACAAAAATCCAGTTAAAAAATGGGGGGCTTCCCTGGTGGTGCAGTGGTTGAGAGTCCGCCTGCTGATGCAGAGGACACGGGTTCGTGCCCTGGTCCGGGAAGATCCCACATGCCGCAGAGCAGCTAGGCCCCTGAGCCATGGCCGCTGAGCCTGTGCATCTGGAGCCTGTGCTCCACAATGGGAGAGGCTACAACAGTGGGAGGCCCGCGTACCGCAAAAAAAAAAAAAAGGGGGGCAGAAGACCTAAATAGACATTTCACCAAGGAAGACATACAGATGGCAAAGAGGCATATGAAAAGATGCTCAACGTCAGTAATTATTAGAGAAATGCAAATCAAAACTACAATGAGGTATATCACCTCACACTGGTCAGAATGGCGATTATCAAAAAATTTAGAAACAATAAATGCTGGAGAGGGTGTGGTAAAAAGGGAACCTTCCTGCACTGTTGGTAGGAATGTAAGGTGATACAACCACTATGGAAAACAGTATGGAGGTTCCTTAAAAAACTAAAAAGAGAACTACCATATGACCCAGCAATCCCACTACTGGGCATATACCCTGAGAAAACCATAACTCAAAAAGAGACATGTACCACAATGTTCATTGCAGCACTATTTACAATAGCCAGGACATGGAAGCAACCTAAGTGTCCACTGACAGATGAATGGATAAAGAAGATGTGGCACATATATACAATGGAATATTAGACATAAAAAGAAACAAAATTGAGTTATTTGCAGTGAGGTGGATGGACCAAGAGTCTGCCCTACAGAGTGAAGTAAGTCAGAGAGAGAAAAACAAATACCATATGCTAATCTAAAAAAAAAATGGTACTGATGAACCTAGTTGCAGGGCAGGAATAAAGAGGTAGACATAGAAAATGGACTTGAGGACATGGGTTGGAAGGCGAAGCTGGGGTGAAGTGAGAGTAGCATCAACATATATACACTACCGAATGTAAAATAGATAGCTAGTGGGAAGCAGCTGCATAGCACAGGGAGATCAGCTCGGTGCTTTGCAATGACCTAGAGGGGTGGGATAGGGAGGATGGGAAGGAGGCTCAAGAGGGAGGGGATATGGAGACATATGTATGCATATGGCTGATTCACTTTGGTGTACAACAGAATCTAACACAGTATTGTGAAGCAGTTATACTCCAATAAAGATCTATGAAAAAAAACAGCTGACTTGTGCCACTAATAACTGGGGCACCTGATAGAGCATTTCCCCGAATAAATCATGTAAACTTTTGACTACTTCCCCCCCATCATTCTTACTCCTACTCATATCACCAGTAGTAGAAGCTGGTTCTGGTACCAGTGGAACCGTACATTCAGCTCTAGCCAGCAGTGTGGCCCACGCAGGAGCCTCTGTCGACCTAACCATTTTCTCCTTTACATCGAGCAGGGTCTCTTCAATTCTTGGTGCTATTACTTTTATTACTATAGCCTTTAATACAAAATCAGCAGTCACATCCCAATACCAAACACCATTATTTGTTTAATCTTCCCCAACTATAGCCATATTACTATAATTACCACTCTCAGTCCGAGCAGCCAGAATTGCCATACTGTTAAGAGATAGAAATTTAAACACTACTTTCTTTGACCCTGCAGGAGGAGATCGAATCCTATACCAACACCTATTTTGGTTCTTTGGTCACCCTCAAGTCTGTATTCATGGCCTACCAGGGTTTGTTATAATCTCACATATCATTACATACTATTTAGGACAAAAAGTGCCTTTCAGCTATTCGGGAATGGCTTGAGTCATGTCCACTGGCTTTTTAGGATTTATCTTATGGGCCCATCATATGTTTACCATAGGGATAGCTGTCGACCCATGAGCATACTTTGCATCAGCTACCGTAATTACTTCCATCCCTGCAGGAGCAAAAGTAGGTGATTAGCAACTCCTCACGGAGGTAATATTACATGACCTCTCACTAATATTATGAGCTTTCAGCTTTAGTTTTCTTTTTACAGTAGGTGGTTTGACAGGAATCATCTCAGCCAACTCATCCCCAGACACTGTCTTCCAGGATACATACTATGTAGTAGCACACTTCCATGGCGTAATGTCCATGGGAGCCATCTTCACTATTACAGGCGGCTTCTACACTGATTTCCACTATTCTCAGGTTATACACTTAACATGAGCAAAAATTCACAAGTATATTTGTAGTAGTAAATATGACTTCCTGCAGCACTTTCTTGGCCTCTCAGGGATGTCACTACGTTACTCCAAGTACCCTGTTGCACACACAACATGAAATATTTTGTCTTTAGGCTCATTCATCTCAGTAACAGCAGTAGTGCTTAGTAATCTTCATACTTTGAAAAGCATTTGCATCTAAACAAGAAGTCTCAGCAGTGAAAACTGCTAGTCCTAACCTAGCATGGTTACACGGATGCCCTCCACCATATCCTGTTTGAAGATCCTACCTATGTAAATGTAAAATAAGGATGGACTCAAATCCTTTTCAAGCAGTTTCAATCCAACACCATAACCGTTACGTCTTTCTCAATAAAGGAGATAAAAGTAAAAAGTGATGTAAGTTTGTCAAAGTTAAATCATAGGCTAAAATCTTATATATCACTAAGGCATATCCATTTCATCTAGGGTCTCAAGATGCAACATCACCGATTATGGAAGAACTTTTACATTTTCATGATTATGCATTAATAATCATTTTCTTGGATAAGTTCTCTAGTCCTCTATTATTTCACTAATATTGACAACTAAACTGACCCATATACGTACAACAGATGCACAGGTAGAGAAAAGCTGCACAATTTACCAGCCATCATTGTAATCTTAATTGCCCTATCATCACTGTGAATCCTTTACATGATACATGAAATCAATAACTCTTCCCAAACCATAAAAAACTATGGGTCAGGGCTTCCCTTGTGGCGCAGTGGTTGAGAGTCCGCCTGCCGATGCAGGGGACACGGGTTCGTGCCCCGGACCAGGAAGATCCCACATGCCGCGGAGCGGCTGGGCCCCTGAGCCATGACCGCTGAGCCTGCGCGTCCGCAATGGGAGAGGCCACAACAGTGAGAGGCCCGCGTACCGCAAAAACAAAACAAAACAAAACAAAAAAACAACTATGGGTCAGTAATGATACTGAAGCTACAAATACACAGATTATGAAGATTTAAATGTTGACTCCTCTGTAATCCCCACATAAGCGCTAAAACCAGGAGAATAATGACTAATAGAAGTCAACAACCACGTAGTATAGAGATAGTCGTTGAATATTAGTTTCATCTGAAAATGTTTTACACTGCTGAGCTGTTTCTCCTTTAGGCCTAAAAAGAGCTGCTATCCCAGGACGCCTAAATTAAAGAATCCTAATACCGACAGGACCAGGCCTATGTTGTGGACAAGAGAGTTCGTTTTCCTGTGTTCAAAGACAGGACAGAGGGATATGGATGAGATATGGGGTGAGTCTGGAGCCCATGGGGGATGTACTCTCCAAGCTCCAAGATGGGAATGGGGCCTCGGGGGTCCCAGGCCACCCGGCGTGCCCTCCCGAGCAGGATCTTGGCAACATTCCCTGTCAGTGATGAGGCGGCCTGAGCACCTGTCACGGCCCCAATGCTGTGACCTATGTGGGCCCCAAGCTCTTGGGACCACACCCCACACTCTGTGGGTCAGCCCTGTAGGATCTTCCCTGCCACAGGAGCAGCGACCACCCAGCAAGCAGGCCCCTCCCAGGAGCCCAGGACAGCAATGACGCAGATGAGGCAGAGCCCAAGAAATGGGACCAGAGGGCCCAACAGGCAGCTGGTCAGGTCCCGGCTCATCTGCACCCTGGACACCCTTGTCCCTCGTACACCCCCTTCCTCATACAGCCTCCCGAAATACAGATTCTTCAGATGCAAAGAGGCAGAGCTTCAGACTGAAAGTCAGCTCTTCCAAAATGACCCATCAGCGAACACTGCAGGATTCCACTCAGATGGGGCCCCTGGTGTCGACAACTCATGGACCAAAGTGGACGTCGGTGCCGGGGCTGTCGGAAGGGGTGGGGAGTGGAACGTTGTGGAATTTGGTTTGGCAAGATGAAAAGTTCTAGGGATGGTGGTGATGGCTCCACAAGAAGGTGAATAAATCTGATGCCTCAGAAACGTGCACTTAAAATGGTGAAGGGTATGTGACGTGTGTTATTCTGCTTAAAATAAATTTTAAAAATGATTTCTTGTTAATTGAGATTCCATTTCGACTCCCCTTCATCACAAATGTCGGAGGCCCAAACATAGTCCCCCACCTTAGGGACCATCATGGTACCCGCACAGAGCACATGGGGGACCATTCTTAGGGGGAGCTAGTCTGTGCTCACCTGAGCTTTGTCCAGGGGGACCCAGGCAGTGGTGACCCCCATGGATTAGATACATGGTATGCTATGATATTAATATGATTCTGTAACCAAGCAGGACCCTATGGAGCCTTCCCAGAACAGTGCCCCCTGCCCCCATGTCCTCTGCCTGCCTCTTGTCTGTAGAAAAACTTTAGTCTCCCAGGCTTCCGCAAGTTCCAAAGACTACATTTAGTCAGAGAAATGAGAAAATGCAGGAGGGAAAACAGCCAAACAAGACAACATAATAATACTTCAGCCATTAAACAAAGCCAAGAACCTCTAGTTCCTCCTCAAGGGCTGTAGATAATATTCTGAGCCACGGCCTTCGAGCTGTTTTGCAGATACTGAAGCCCCCACCAGGTGGGAGAAGTTAACTGCATGCTGCCCACAAGCACGTAGACCCCAGACCAGCCGGAACCAGAAGGTGGATGATGCTGAGTCACCACCAGCCAATCAGAAGGGTGTCCATCAGCTGACCACACACCCCACAACCCCCCTCCCTCACCCTGTCTTTAACAACCTTTCGCAGAAAGCCTTAGGGGAGTTTGGGCCTTTTAAGCATAAGCTGCCCTGGACTCCTTGCTTGGCGCCTGCAACGAAAGCTGTACCACAACCCAGGGTCAGTAGATTGGCTTTACTGCACACAGGTGAGTGGACCCGAGTTTGGTTTGGAAGCAATACCACCAAGGGTTACTGGTCACTCGGCAGAACACTGAGCAGCAACCTGCTCAAAGGTTCCTGTCCTCATGTGAATGTGACAAGATTAAGAGAAGAAGAAGGACCACAGGTTAATTACAGCAACACCCTCAATTCAGATATTAGAAATCTCAGAGATGACCAGAACCACTGCAGGCGAAGAGCAGATAAGGGGTCTTCCCGTACACGTGATCCTGACCCATGCAGATGGGGTGAGACCCACACAGTCCCCACACCCTGCGCCTGGGGTCACATGTCCCCTTGGTCAGGACACCATGGCCCTGCTGGTTGGCCCCCTAATGTGGAAATGAGCTGGGTTCCTGGGACCTCCTGCGATGGCAGAAGAAGTGTAGGATTGGTCTCCTCTCCCCACACTTGTCCCAGAGAAGTCCTCCTCTTTTCACTCTGGTTCTGTGGTATTTTAACTGTTTTTAAAGCTTTCGGGATAAGTTGAACATCCTACCTTGGTTCTGGCAGGCTCAGTCCTTTCTTGGCTCGCTGAGGTGTTGAGAAAACACACAGGACAGCAGGGCTGAAAGCCGAGGGCAGCTCTGGTCTCTGCTGAGTAGCGATGGTTGACGGGAAGTAGATTACAGTAGCAGCCTCACCTGCTCTCCCATCAGCCTTTTGCCCAATCCATGTGCCCTGCAATCAGTTCATCAGCTAAACCTGCCTGCCTACTCACTATGCACGGGCTGATAAATTGGGATAATTTCCAGGTAGCCCACCTGAGGAGTCTCCACGAGGCCCAGGGAAGGTGAACCTTACGGGGGTAAAGACGAAGGCCCTGACCGCAGCACTGACCCCTGGGAGGGCCAGGTAGAGCAGAGCGCTGCTACCCAGACAAGCCCACCTGAGCTCCAGACCCCAGACATCTAAGCACTGACATTCAGACACAGGCACCGAGCTTTCCAGGACTGAGGCCAGGACAGGTCTCTACCCTGGTCTCCATAGTCCTAGTGTACGCAGAACACATTCAGGTCTAAACGTTCTCATTATAGACAGCACATGGTCTGGTCTAAACGTACTCAGTGTAGACAGGACATGGAGAGATCTAAATCTGCTGTGTAGACAGAACTTGGTCGGGTTTAAACTAGCTTAGGGCTGATCTCATAGGAGGTAAAGGTCACACACATGGGTCTCTCACCTTTGGACAGAGGGCTCACCCCCGTGTGGGAAGTAGGATATACATTTCTTGGAGAATAAATCAACATCGGGCTCCACACGTCATCCACATCAGGAAACTGAACAAAATCTTTGTCATTAAACATTTCAGCAGGCAAAACAAAAATGTTGCCAGTTTCTCTGGCCACGTGATGGTCAGGATCCAGGGCTGAGCCTGGAGCTTCTTGTAGTGCGGCCCCGTCTCCTGCAAGGACAGACAGGAAGTGGCCTGATTCCAGCGTCCCAGGCTTCCAGCTAGAGGCGGCCGCACTGGAAGCCCGGGCGGGACAGTCCGTTCTGAGGGCCAATTGCGGGTGGAGCCTGGTCAGGGCCGCCGAGAGCCCTGCACTCAGGTCCTGCTTCTTGGCAGCGTGGGCGGGGTGGGGGGTGGGGCTGGTGTCCCCTACGGCTCCCGGTCAGGTGACCTCACGCCCCGGGGCTGACAGGGGCACGGGCACCGAGCTGTCTTCGAGGGGAGACACGGGGAGAGGTTGGGGCACAGAAGCCGTCTGAGTGGAGAGCCCACTGGCAAGCTCCTCACGCAATGGCCCATTTCCACCCAGTGACCTGCCTGCCCATCGAAGTTCTGGGGGCCTGGCACCCTCTCTGCCACCCACTTGTAAGTCTCCCAAGCGTGCTATTCTAATAAATCATTTCTCATGTATCACTTTGCCTCTTGCTGAATTCTTTCTGCACTGAGACATAAAGAACCCAGCTCCCTGGAGCCCCTGAAATGCCACCTAGTGGTTTCACAACCCTGACCTCAATTGTACCTCTCTGGTGTTTGCAGACATTTTGGTGTCTCACCTGTTTCAACCTGGGGTTGCTCTTCCAGACTTCTGCTGTTTGATTCATAGATGCTTTCAAAATGATCCATAGACAAAGACATCTCCTTGGTCCTTCAATTCCAGAAAACTTGGTAAAAGTGTTAAAATAAATAGTATGTCTTTTATGGACATGATCTTAAAACAACTCAATCTACTCTTACTTTATATGTTTCAAGGCATCTTAATTAGGAGGGCACAGGTCAGAGATGACATGTTTATTCATTTTTGACAAAACACACTAGTGACTTTCGATGCCAGTTTTCCTCAAATCTCATTGAATTCATGGCAAACTCAGCCATCTGCTTTGATAGTAAAGACTTAAACACACGAACAAAACAAAAGGTCAACAACCAGTGAAGGACTGGTGGAAGGACAGCTTACATTGAGTGCTTATAAAATAATGTCAGTAAGAAATATAGCACCATTATTTTAAATTAAATTTGTAATAGTCTTCAAAGTTACTGTGCTCAAGGCTGTAGTCCTGTTTGCTTTTTATTACCCTAGACTGAGATTATATTCTTTTACAAATGACAGAAAAACACTTTAAAATATCAAGTGTATTTAAATATTTTCAAGTTTATAAAAGAAACAAATATTTTAACACTTTAGTTCTGCTCAATTAAGTAAATAAATTACACAGATGTATTTTGTTATTTATCTCTCTTTGGGATTCTGGAGAAGAATTCTAGAAAAGTATATTCTTTTTCGGAATGAAAATATATTCCTGAGATTGGCAAGCATATTAGTTGTTATTTGCAAACCTAAAATATTCTTAAAAGCTTGGCACCCTGACCTTTGCGGCTCCATTGGTTCCATTTGTGTTCAGATTTTCTTGCTAGAAACAAGCTGTCATTTTAAATTAGTTTCTCCTAATTGTGTTCAAGTTGTTAGACTATGAATGAAAAGCCACATTAAAAAAAAAAAAATTCCTGGAAACAATTACTGACTCAAATGGCCTGTAAGCTGCATATACTTTTTCTTACGACAGTTTCATTTTTCTCCCTGAAGACACCTGAAAACAATAGGCCCACTGATCTTTTTGCTTTTCTGTTCAGACTGAGCTAAACTGAAATTTATATTCTTATCAATAAGTAACAGTTTTTGAGTTTTGAGGGGTCATACCAGGGTGTAACAAAGCTTACCCTACCTTATTCCTTTAAAACTGGCAACATGATATAATGTGAATATAATGGGTTTGGAATTAGGCAGACAGGGAAACGTGGTTTTACATCCTACCTCCTTGCTCGTTCTGTGGCTTAGAAAGATACTCTATGAGCCTCAGTTTCCTCATGAATGTGCGAAACAGGGAAAATAATAGCCAGTACGTAGGTTTGTGGTGAGGTAAAGTAAGACCGCAGAGCTGAAGTAAATAAATTTTTTGCACCTAGTATATGTGCAATTTGTGCGTCATTACAGCCGTAAAGGGACATTGGCTATTTATTTGAGGGTAATGAGAATAGAGATAAATTTGGTTAGAATATACACAAATGCATTTATAATCAGATATATAAATATAAATCTTAGATACATACATAAATCAACCTTATATATATGATTTTCAAGATTGCCCAATGGAAGCAGGTCTCTCTCAGTGGATAGGCCAAGTCATTCATCTGTCACGCAGGCTCCTCCCCAACAGCCTTGGGGGACGATATATATGAATCCAACGTTAAGAAAAAACGATTGAAGTAGCTGGTAATAAAAAGTCTGCTGCCAATTACATGCCTCATATATTTGAAGAAAGAGGACATGCTTTATGTATAAACAGCTAATGCTTGGAAGCAGACAGTTGATTCAGCAAGTAATAGTCTATTTTAATACGGATACTGTCTTCCTAGGAAATTCTGTAAGACCCTGTGCGTTGGTTGTATCCATGACGGATTTGGTATAAAGTAGGTGAAATTGGGTAAGTGCCATCATTACAGAAAGGACCAAAATCTCAAGTGCTTAAAAAAATAGAAATGATCCAAGTAGTACCAATTTTATAATGAAAATATCGATCCTATTCGTGACATCATTATTTTGGTGCCATGTTTATGGGGAATGGGACGGTATGCTGAGGAATAATTTGGGGATAAAAACTCACTTACCGGTGGTCTCTGTGTCCACACCACTTAGTGGGAAGCACACCTCCTGCTTAGGAGACAGACTTTCTTTCCAGCAAGAGTTCAGCCTGGTTCCTGATTTGGTGACGTAGCTGTCATCGGACTTCCCTTGAAGAGATACCTGGAGATCATTTCAGTCCTTTGGTTCCCAAGTTCCACTGTCAAGAAGAAAGAGGCTGGGAGGAAGCTTTTTTATTACTTGTCTGGATTCGGGCAACTTGTTCTTAAATTATAAAAACCCACTGAGCCTACTT